GCTCTTGGGGTTTGTAGGAGCTGGGAGTCATTCCCAACTCGTAACTTGTATGGAAAACTCCTTTTCCTTACTTCGCGTCCCTGCTCAGCGCGTACAACACTGATAGCACCCCACAATATCCCGTTACCACTCGCGACATTCGCCCCGACACCATTCCCGCCACTGTTCACGATGCGACCCAACCACACGGTTCGGTTGGTAACCCGCGCTACGGACCTCCGCCTCGACAGTTCCCCAAACCTCGACATCAGGCCCGTCGCGCACCCATTTCTCCCACGTTACCGTTACCACCATAGTTTCGCTATATATTCTTCGCTCATTCCTTTGCTCATTTTGTATCTTGTCTCGATAGTGCAATCCTCGCTCGCTCACTCCATTGCACTCGTAACTCTTGGTTATCAGAGCCTACGATCTTCTCTCGGACCGCACCCACACCTTCGCTTCCCCACTATCATTTTTTTTTGGGGGGGGGTATACGTCTCTCAGCGATCAAGCACCGCCGCTCGAAGTGCTCTCTCGTAAGCACGCACGGCCACGACAGAGGCTCTCGCTGAGCTTGCCCAACGCCCTCGCCATGGCAGAACCCAACGTCGCGACACTGACACAGGAGCAATTGGATGGGCTCATACGCCAACTCGAAGAATCGGCGCTTGAAATCGCCACACTCACGGCGGAACGCGACTCCGCTCGCCAACAATCGACAGTGAATGCACCACCGCCAACACACGCACCTGCACATTCGGAGGAACCGATTGTCATCTCCTCTGGCACACCGACACAGAATGACAGTGTGGGACAACGCTCAGGCGCAGCCAGTGAAGGCGCCGCTCACTCGATGCCGGGCATGGAGAGAAACAGGACCGCACCAAGCCCACGGGAGCCCCGCGAGTCCCGTCGGCACGTGGAATTCGCGGCGACAAGTGGCGAATATGCGGTCACGGCACCAATGCCACTCAAGCCACAGCGTCCGCCCTGTTTCGACCCGAGCCAGCGTGGGGGTCCGATGCTTCAGTCATGGATCTTCACGATGAACGTGTTTTTCGACGCCAATTACGTCGAGTCGGACGCAGCAAAGATTTGCTATGATGTTTCGCTGCTGAGGGGCCCCGCCATGGACTGGTGGCGAGTCATCGTGACGTCGCCACGCGCCTATGAGCCACCGTCGCACGAAGACGGGCCCACGGGCCCAGCCGTCACCTGGAGTTCATTCTGCGAGACAGCCCAATACAGCACGTGGGATGCGTGGTGCGCAGGGCTTCGGGCGCGTTTCGAGCCAATCGCGGCTTCGATTTCGGCGCGTCAGAAGCTGCGCACTTGGCGGCAGCTCGGGTCGGTTCAAGATTACACTAGCGGCTTTCTCGCACTATGCGAACAAGTCGGCTATATGCACGAAGCGGAGCGGGTGGACCGTTACGTCGGAGGGCTAAAGCCGGACATATCGCAAGAAATTATGCTACGTGGGCTCTCGAATTTCAACGAGATCCTCGCGCTCGCCGAGAAAATCGACATCCTACGGCGACCGAGACCGGGGTCCTACTACGGACAACGTCCTCGGGGGCCGACCGAGCACGCCACCGTACACGCCGTTGCGACGAATGCAGCTGCCGCACCGTTTAAGGGGCGCTGCTTTGCTTGCAATAGGCCAGGCCATCGCAAAAGTGAATGCCCAGAGGAGCTAAGGCGCTGTGGAATAGAGCAGGGGCGAGAGTCTCAGAGGCCGGGAAATGCCAGCAGTCAGTAGAAGTTGGGCCAACTACTGACGAGACTGCCTGCTCGCCCAACTTCACCGACCCTCACCGAGTCACAGTACCGATTCACGCTATCGATCGGGCTCGGACGAATAAGGAGGGTACAGCGACGGATTGCCCAGTACTGATTCGCGGGAAAATACAGGGAGCAGCAGTGAAGATTTTTATAGACGGAGGTGCAAGTCACAGCTTAGTTAATACCGCGACTGCGAGGAAACTGCAACTGACACTTAGTCGGTGCTTGCCAGAGATTGATGCACGATTAGTTGACAGAACACCGCTGGCCATACGGGAGAAAGTGGAAAGAGTAAAAGTCCGCTGCGGAGGGAATTTCGGGTTTACACAGGAAATGCTCGCGACGACGTTGGATGGGCACGACATTTTAATGGGACGTGATTGGCTGCGATGATACAACCCGCGAATCGACTTGACGACAGGCAGCTGCACTGTGCGAAGTAGTGGTAACTGGGTGGAGCTACCTCGCTGGCAGTCGCCTGAGCCTTCAACGGTCCACGTCAACGCCGTCACGATGAAACGGGCTGTCGCCGCTAGAGCTGACGTGTACGCAGTGGATATCGCGATAGTGGAAGAATCAGACAGGCCGAGCGATTTCTAGAAACTACTAGCGGCAGTACCATCGGAACTACAGGAACTGTTGAAACGATTCCCGGGAATCTTCCCTGACGACTTACCCGAAGGACTGCCACCTCAGCGGGCGCACGACCATCGAATAGAATTAGAGCCCGGGGCACAGCCAATTGTACAGCGACAGTTCAGACTGACACAGCCCGAGCTCGACGAGCTAAGGAAGCAGTTAGATTACCTGTTAGAGAAAAAAATCATCCGACCAAGCTCATCGCCATTCGCTGCATCGATACTGTTCACACCGAAAAAAGACGGCGGGTTTCGCATGTGTATCGACTACCGAGCACTGAACAGGGTTACAGTTAAATCGCGATACCCCATCCCCCAAGCTGACGAACTGATAGATCAACTGCGAACAGCACGAGTCTTTTCGAAAATTGACTTATGGGGAGGTTACCACCAGATTAGGGTCGAACCGTCGGACTGCGCCAAAACAGCTTTTAGGACTAGGTACGGGTCGTTCGAATACACGGTAATGCCTTTCGGGCTGACCAAGGCACCGACGACATTTCAGATGACGATGAACGAGGCGTTTAGGCCACTCTTAGATAAATGCGTCATCATCTACCTTGACAACATCCTCGTTTACAGTCGGGATAAGCAGCAGCATTTAGAAGACTTAGAAGCAGTATTTACAGTTCTAGACAAACACAGACTACTGACAAAGGGTTCCAAGTGCGAGTTTTTTCAGGACAGGCTAGAGTGTTTGGGGCATGTTATTTCGGAGGCTGGAGTAGAAATCGACCCGAAGAAATTGGACACGGTAAAAGCATGGCACCCCCCGACGAACATCACGGAACTGCAGAGTTTTTTGGGTTTTGTTAATTACGTGCGCCGGTTCGTCCCCGACATGGCACGCTTAACGGCCCCGCTTACGGATTTGCTGAGGAAGGGGGTCACTTTTACATGGGGGGAGAAAGAGCATGCTGCCTTCTCCACCCTAAAAAATGTTCTCTGTTCCCCGCCGGCATCGCCGACCCACACCGCCCGTTCGAAGTGGTTACTGACGCAAGCGACATCGCCATCGGAGCCGTACTGCTACAAGACTTCGGCAACGGGTTACAACCCATCGCCTACGAATCACGAAAACTGCATCCGCCCGAGAAGAAGTACCCGATACACGATCGCGAAATGCTTGCGATCGTGCATGCGTTCAAAGTGTGGCGCTGTTACTTGACCGGCGCCGACGTGACAGTACGGACAGATCACAAGTCACTACAGTACCTCCGCGCACAACCCCACCTCAACCCACGACAAATCCGCTAGCTCGACTACCTCGAGTCGAATTTTCACTACACGGTCATCTACAAAAAAGGGGCATCGAACATCGCCGACGCATTAACCCGACCCATAGCCCAAGTTCACGCCATACTACTCGCCCAGACCAGTCCATTGTTAACAGGCCTATTTACCCACGGTTACCAAACTGATCCATTTTTTACAGGCGGAAACTCACAGCAGTTTGCAGCAGCAAGAGAAGTCTATTACGTAAAAACCGGCACTGATCGCATCTGGGTACCGGGCTACACACTTCTACGGGAATTACTGTTGCAGGAGGCACACGACGGAGTTACCTCAGGGCATTTCGGAGTAGAGAATACACGTCAGCAGCTGCAGCGGTACTACTACTGGCCCGAAATGTTGACCGACGTACAACGACACGTGGCATCGTGTCCCACCTGCCAGGTCATGAAATCATCACGGAAGCGGCCAGCAAGACAATTGCAACCGATACCACCCCCAGAGCGTGATTGGCAGCAGGTGACGATGGACTTCGTCACGGGGTTACCGGCGAGTGCAAGTGGGAACGACGCGATCCTGGTCGTCGTCGATCGACTGACGAAAATGGCACATTTCGCAGCATGCAAGAAATCAATCACAGCCGAAGAAACGGCCCGCCTCTTCATTGCAACCATTGTTCGATTACACGGGATACCAGCAGCGATAATCAGCGACCGCGATACGAAGTTTACCAGCAATTTCTGGCGGAACCTGTGGCAGCAGTTCGGCACGAGGCTGCAGTTCAGTTCTTCGTACCACCCCGAAACCGACGAACAGACAGAACGGACAAACCAGACCATGGAACAGTTAATCCGGGCAACGTGCGATGACCCCACCACCTGGGAACAGCAACTTCCACTAATCGAATTTGCGTACAACAACTCGCCATCCGCCACAACCCAACAGTCGCAATTTTTCCTGAACTACGGACAAGACCCTACAGTACCCATGACCCCGAATCCCGACAACCCGGTGCCACGAGCGCAACAGTTCGCAGAAATTTTACAGGAAGCTCGAACCAGGGCAGCAGACGCAATTAAAAAGGCGAACGTCATCGCTAAGCGCAACGCCGACCGCCACCGCCGACCAGTCACTTACCAACCAGACGACTTAATTCTACTCGACACTCAAAACCTCCGCCTGCCCATAACTCCGAAACTCCGCCCCCGATATTGTGGGCCATTCCGCATCAGCCACATGATCACACTAGTCACCGCCCACCTCCTCCTCCCCGCTGACTGGTACGTCAGCCCCTCCTTCCACGTCAGCCTGCTTCGCCCCTACATCCCATCCACCAGCCAACTGGCCCGACATCGCCCAGCCAGCATGACCCGACCACCGACCGAGCCAGTCATCACGCCCGAAAAGATACTGAGCCTGTCATCACAGGGCTGCAGGGCAGCAGGGCGCGCGGGGCGCGCAGGGCTGCAGTGCGCGCAGGGCGCGCAGGGCAGCAGGACAGCAGGGCGCGCAAGGCTGCAGGGCACACGGGGCGCAGCAGGGCTGCAGGGCGTGCGGGGCACGCAGGGCAGCAGCAAGGGCTGTAGCGGCAACAGCAAGGGCTGTAGCGGCAGCAGCAGGGCAGCAGGGCGCACAGGGCTGCTGGGCAGCAGGGCGCACAGGGCTGCAGGGCAGCAGGGCGCGCGGGGCGCGCAGGGCTGCAGGGCGCGCGGGGCGCACAGGGCTGCAGGGCGCGCGGGGCGCACAGGACAGCAGGGCAGCAGGGCGCGCGGGGCGCGCAGGGCTGCAGTGCGCGTAGGGCGCGCAGGGCAGCAGGACAGCAGGGCGCGCAGGGCTGCAGTGCGCGCGGGGCGCACAGGGCAGCAGGGCAGCAGGGCGCGCGGGGCGCAGCAGGGCTGCAGGGCACGCGGGGCGCGCAGGGCAGCAGCAAGGGCTGTAGCGGCAGCAGCAGGGCAGCAGGGCGCACAGGGCTGCAGGGCAGCAGGGCGCGCGGGGCGCGCAGGGCTGCAGAGCGCGCGGGGCGCACAGGGCTGCAGGGCGCGCGGGGCGCACATGACAGCAGGGCAGCAGGACAGCAGGGCGCGCAGGGCGCGCAGGGCTGCAGGGCGCGCAGGGCTGCAGGGCGCGCATGGTGCGCAGGGCAGCAGGACAGCAGGGCGCGCAGGGCGCGCAGGGCTGCAGGGCAGCACAGGGCTGCAGATCCCCTCCCCCCCACCACTGCACCCGCAGCAGTTGGATGGAGGAGAAGTGGGGGGGGGGGGGGGGGGGGTTGATGCTGCAAATCCCCTCTCCCCACTGCTGCTGCAGATCCCCTCCCCCCCACTGCTGCACCCGCAGCAGGGGTGGAGGAGAAAGGGGGGGGGGGCGGGGGGGGCTGGTGCTGCAGATCCCCTCCTGCCTCCCTCTGAACCTCCAAGCTCCCCCCCCTCTCCCAACACAAGGAGCGGCAGGGAGAGAGAGAGGAGAAAAGGGCGGGGGGGGGGGGGGGGGCGGTGCAGGAGCCGCTCGGGTGACAGCAGGACGTGCCACACACACCACCCCCATACCCTCCCCCCCACTGCTGCACCCGCAGCAGAGAGATGGAGGAGAAGGGGGGGGCGGGGGGGGGTGGAGCTGGTGCTGCAGGTCCCCTCCCCCCACTGCCGCATCCGCAGCAGGGGGAGATAGGAGAAGGGGGGGGGGGGGGGGGGCTGGTGCTGCAGATCCCCTCCCCCCCCACTGCTGCACCCGCAGCAGGGGGGAGGTAGGAGAAGGGGCGGTGCAGGAGCCGCTCGGGCGACAGCAGGTTGGCCACACCCGCCACCCCCATACCCTCCCCCCACTGCTGCACCCGCAGCAGAGAGATGGAGGAGAAGGGGGGGGGGGGGGGCGGGGGGGGGCTGGTGCTGCAGATCCCCTCCTGCCTCCCCCTGAACCTCCAAGCTCCCCCCCCTCTCCCACCACAAGGTGCGGCAGGGAGAGAGAGAGGAGGAGGCGTGGCGGCAGCTGCTGCTGCTGAGGCACATCCGCCACCCCCTCACACCCTCTCCCCGCCATCCCCATGGAGGGGGGGGGGGGGGGGGGGAGGGGGGCGGGGGCGGAGCTGCGCGTGCGACTGTAGGGCACGCGGGCAGGAGGAACCCCCTCTTGCCACCCCCTCACCCACCATGTTGCAACAGGGCACCGGGGCTGCGGTTAGGGGCGGCAGGTGGCGAGGGGCCATGGCTAGGGGCGACGGGGCCATGGCTAGGGACGGGGCCGGGCGCTGGGCAGGTACGGGGCCGGGCGCTGGGCAGGTACGGGGCCGGGCTCTGGGCAGGTACGGGGCCGGGCGCTGGGCAGGTACGGGGCCGGGCGCTGGGCAGGTACGGGGCCGGGCGCTGGGCAGGTACGGGGCCGGGCGGTGGGCAGGTACGGGGCCGGGCTCTGGGCAGGTACGGGGCCGGGCGCTGGGCAGGTACGGGCCGGGCACGGGCTAGGTACGGGGCCGGGCGCGGGCTAGGTACGGGGCCGGGCGCTGGCTAGGGTCGGGGCTGTGCGCTGGGCTAGGTACAGGCCGGGCGCGGGGCTAGGTACGGGCTGAGCGCGGGCAAGAGACGGGGCCGGGCGCGGGCAGGGTACGTGGTCGGGCGCGGGCGAGGTACAGGGCCAGGCGCTGGCTAGGTACGGGGCCGGGCGCTGGCTTGGCCGACAAGTGAACGTAGCCAGGTGATGCCCCGTTTGTGTGCACATGCAGATCGACACACGCTGACCCCCAAGATTGGTGGTAGTGACCATCGCATCCTGAAGGGCAGCGGTACTCACCAAGTTTGTAGATAACGAGGGGAGGTGAAGACCCGTCAGTGAGCCGGACGGAACCGCTGGACACGGGAGGACAGTGGAGGAACAGGCAACTACCGGCCCCCCAGAGGGGTCAGCCAGTTTGGCCGGGACAGGTGCAGGGAGAGGAGTGAGAGTGGTGCTGTCACGAAAGAAACAGCGAGAGGCGCCGGAGTCCAACGTGAAGGTGTGCAAGGCCTCAGCAGGCGCAGTACCAGGGGGAGTACCAGACGCACTAGCACCTAGAGCAGCATCCGCTATACCTGGGTCAGGTGGCACACACCGGTAACAGTCACCCTCAGCACTAACAGACAAAGCATACATGGCAGAGAGAATAGCATCATAGTCTAGGTCAAATATAGCAACTCCCGACCTAAGCAAATCCGTCCAGCGAGGGCGCTCGACGTCGTCACCAAACTCAGCACGCAAGGCGTCGTCAAGGCGGGAGAAGCAGCAGTGCTCAGTGTGAAACTTCCCGCATGTCTGGCCCGCACGGACACCCGTGCGAACGACATACGGGCAGGTCTCACTACCCCCACCCGTCCCACGCTGAACCAACCACTCACGGAGCTGCTGGGGCGACTGGGTCTCGCTCCGACGCTGCTGCTGCTGTCGGTGACCACCACTAGGGCCTCCACGCCGAGGTCCAGACCTGCCACCACCAGACCCACTGCCTCCACTGCCGCCACTCCCTCCGCTGCCTCCACCGCCGCCACCAGAGCCCCCACTGCCGCCACCAGTCCCACCGCCGCCACCACCTCCACTGCCTCCACCACCTCCACCACTGCCCCCACCACCGCTCCCACTGCTACCTCCACCACCACCGCTGCCACCTGCACCACCCCGGCCACCCTTGCCCTTGCTGCTGCGGCGCTTCGCACTAGTCGAAGCAGCACCGACGTCCTCAGTAACAGAGACGTCTGCAGCAGCAACAGAGGCGAAGGAGGGGGAAAGGGGGGAGGGGGAGCACCCCTCAAAGAAGGGCGGGCGCGGAGTGCCACGAGCAGCACCTACAGCAGCTGCAAGGAGATGCTGCTCGAGGAGGTCAACAGTGAGGGAGGTGGGGTCAAGGGAGAGAAAGTGGTCCCGGACAGAGCGAAGAGAGTCAGGGAGGCGAGAGACTATGAAGTAGAGGGTGATGAACATGGGGGGCTGGTTCGTGGCAAGGAACTCAGCAGGGACGGTAGCGCGGTAGCGAGCGTCGCTAGTGCGCAGGTGGGTAACCAGGTCCGCTTCGGTGGCAAAAGCCGACAGCTCAGGGAAAAGGTAGGGCAGTAGCAGTCTGCCTAGAGCAGCAGAAGAAGGGGAGGAGTAGCGAGCAACGACAGCATCATACAGGGCCTGTGCCGTCCTGTGCTGTCCGAAGTGAGTATATTCGGCCACCGGCAGGTGGTTGCAAATGGCTAAGCGGGCAGTAGCGTCACGAGACAGCCACTGGGAACGAGTCGCATCATCAGCCGTCGCGGGAGGGGCTCGAACGACACCGGACACGTGGTCAAACAGTGAGACACCGTCCTTAATATCGCTCAGTAGGTACAGTTGCAGATCGTCGTGCCACGTGTCAAATGCAACCGGTCTGCCCTCATGATCGAACGCTAGAACTCTAAGCGAAGCCATATTGGCGCAGTACTCAGGAGAAGCAGTAGCATCAGGAGCAGCAGTAGCAGCAGTAGCCAATGGGCCAAGGGGCGGGGCCGAGGGGCCGAGGGGCCAAACACGAGGGTTGCGGGGCCGAGGGGCCAAGGTGCCTTGGGGCCGAGAGGCCAAGCACAAGGGTGAGGGCCGAGGGGCCGAACAGGAGGGGCCACAGGGCCGAGGTGCCAAGGGGCCGAGGTGCCTGGGGGCCAAGGGGCCAAGAGTCCTAGGGGCCGAGGGGCCGAGGGGACTAGGGGCCGAGGGGCCAAGGGGCGGGCCGAGGGGCCAAACACGAGGCCGAGGGGCCGAGGCTAGGGGCCGAGGTGCGGGGCTGAGGGGCCAAACACGAGGCCGAGGGGCCGAGGCTAGGGGCCGAGGAGCCGAGGGGCCGAGGGGCCGGGCCTAGGGGCGTAGGCGTATCAGGGCTGCGGGGCCAGAAACGTGGGGCCGTGGGGCCAGAAAACGTGGGGCCGCGGGGCCAGAAACATGGGGCCGCGGGGCCTAGGGCCTAGGCGCGTCAGGGCCTCGAAGCTAGGGGCGACGGGGGGGGCACGAAGCTAGGGGTGACGGGGGGTCGCGAAGCTAGGGGCGCCGGGGGTCGCGAAGATAGGGGCAACGGGGGGGCCGCGAAGCTAGGGGCAACGGGGGGTCACGACGCTAGGGGCGCCGGGGGTCGCGAAGATAGGGGCGACGGGGGGCCGCGAAGCTAGGGGCGACGGGGGGGGGGGGGGGGGCGCGAAGGTAGGGGCGACGGGGGGTCGCGAAGCTAGGGGCGACAGGGTGTCGCGAAGCTCGGGGCGCCGGGGTCGCGAAGCTAGGGGCGACGGGGGGGGGGGGGCGAAGCTAGGGGCGATGGGGGGATTGCGAAGCTAGGGGCGCCGGGGGGTCGCGAAGCTAGTGGCGCCAGGGGTCGCGAAGATAGGGGCAACGGGGGGCCGCGAAGCTAGGGGCGACGGGGGAGGGGGGGGCGCGAAGCTAGGGGCGACAGGGGGTCGCGAAGCTAGGGGCGCCGGGGGTGGGCCGTGAAGATAGGGGCGATGAGGGGGTCGCGAAGCTAGGGGGGCTTCGGTGGCGGCGGTGGAGGTGGAGGCGGCGGTGGCGGTGGCGGGAGGGGTGGAGGAGGCGGAGGCGGCGGCGGCGGAGGTGGAGCTGGCAGAGGCGGAGCTGTGCAGCGGGGACCCCAGCAGCAGCAGCGCTCTCGTGAGACCCCTTCACCCCAGCAGCTTCGTGAGTGGTACGCGGGGCGCCAGGGGTCTGGGGGTGCTGGTCCCTGTACTTACGTCCTGCGCACCGGTGACCGCACTGGAGAGCAGTGTGGCGGCCTGCACGCCACCCAGCGCTGCTTCGGTCGCCTGACGGACGCCTGGCGTGCCCAGTTCCCGGACGCCACTGAGATCCCTCGTTGGGGAGATCTGCTCAGGTCGGGGGTAGCTATCTTTGATCTTGACTTTGATGCTATTCTTGCTGCCATGTATGCTGTGTCTATTAGTGCTGAGGGTGACTGTTACATGTGTGTTCCGCCTGACCCTGGTATTGAGGCTGCTGCTCTAGGTGCTAGTGAGTCTGCTGCTCCAGGTACTCGTGAGTCTGCTGCTCTAGGTGCTGGTGAGTCTGCTCTCTCACGTACCGAGTCGGCTCAGGTCTTTCACACCTTCACCCTCAACTCGGGTGCTTCCCGCTCCTTCTTTCGAGACCGCACCACCCTTACGCCGCTCAGTCGGCCGGTTGCGGTCTCCCTGGCAGACCCCTCTGGGGGTCCTGTTCTTGCTCGCTACTCCACTGTCCTCCCGTGTCCGGCGGCCCCGTCAGGCTCCCTGTCTGGTCTCTACCTCCCCTCGTTCTCCACGAACTTGGTGAGTGGTGCTGACCTTCAGGATGCCGGAGTGGACCAGTTCACTCCTGCAGGTCAGCGAGTGACCCACTGCACGTGTGCTCAGACGGGCCGCCACTTGGCCTCGTTTACCCGTCGACCGGGGTCGAGCCTGTACACACTGACCACAGAGTCTCCCCCGGTTGCTGCGTCTGGTCAGGTAGCTGCGTCGAGTCATGTGTTTGCTGCAGCGTCTCGGTCAGGTCCTGAGTCTGCCCCCTGCTCGTGTCGCCTCCTGTCCCACCAGACCCTCCTCTGGCACCACCGCCTTGGTCACCCCTCCTTGCCTCGTCTCCGAGGCATGGCCTCCCGTGTCCTTGTCTCTGGTCTCCCCCGGTCCCTCCCTCCCCTTCCCCCGGGGCCTGCCCCCACCTGCGTTCCTTGCGTCGAGGGGCGGCAGCGCGCCGCTCCTCACTCCTCCGAGTTTCCCCCGACAGAGGCTCCGCTGAAAACTCTTCACATAAACGTGTGGGGCCCAGCCCGCGTCCGTGGACAGGGTCACGAGCGCTACTTCCTGCTGGTCGTTGACGACTACTCGCGTTACACCACTGTCTTCCCCTTGCGCAGCAAGGGTGAGGTCCCTGAGGTGTTGATCGACTGGATCCGCGTTGCTCGTCTCCAGCTCAGAGAGCGTTTCGGCTCGGACTTTCCTGTTCTGCGTCTGCACTCCGACAGAGGCGGAGAGTTTTCCTCCGACTTTCTGCGAGCCTTCTGTCGTGCGGAGGGCATCCGCCAAACGTTCACGCTTCCGGCCTCTCCACAGCAAAATGGGATTGCTGAGCGCCGCATTGGCATGGTCATGGATGTCGCTCGTACGTCCATGATCCATGCGTCCTTCCACTGCGTCACAGCGTGTCCCTTTGCCGTCTCCTCCGGCGTCCTCTCTTCCTGCTCTTGCTGACCCGGAGTCTGACTCCCTTCGTGCTGCCAGTCCTACTGAGCAAAGCAAAGCAAGCTCAGGGTGGATCTCAAGGAAACCACACAAATTCTGAGCACAAGCAAGTGGTCACAAGACCAGTTCACATGCAGGTTGATAGTATAACCAGAGATACAGTGATCACAACCTAGCAAGAGTAAATAAGCAGGTATATATACAGAGATCACAGTACAAGCAGAGTCAAGAAGTAAGCAAGTGAGGCCCAGTAGGCACGAGGCCTAGAACAGTACAGAAGCGCTGATGGTCACAAGGCTGAAGCGCCTT